CGGGCCCCTGCGGCAACGGCAATGGCCCCGGCCCGCCCGCGGCGGGAGCCCGGCACAGCCAGTAATCGCGTGTAGGGCAGCCACCCCTTTCCTCGCTGCCTCCGGGCCTGAGGTCAAACTCGGCTTGTCCTTCGTTCCCTCCTGCGCCACCGTTAACTTGCTCTGCTGCTTTTGTCCTTCTAGAGAGTCCACGCTGCCCCGGTGTTAGCATCCCCAGTGTGCGACAGAGTGGCAACAGGTGAGCTGTGTTCAGCCTCCAGCAACCGTGGTTTGTGATTGGCCCTGGGACAGTGTTAGTCCCTTTCAGTGTCATCCTGTGTTTCCCTGGGAGGTGGAAACCTTCATTCTCATTTGAAACTGTAACTTGAAGTTTCCTCCTTCATTGAACACATCCATAACTTCTAACCTCTTCTGAGGTGTCTTTCAGGGTCTCAGTAAACATTCAAGTTTCCTTCCGTAACTTGTCCATGGGGTTAGTGCAGCTTGGCAGCCCTGCACGCTGCACACCTGGCTTGTGTCTAAAAAGTAGCCTTTAGATGTGCATATTCTTTTAAGGCCTGGCAGTAGAATAGTTAACAGCTTGTGGGATATGCTTTAGAGTATTGCTAATGTATAATAGTAACTTTTGCTGGGGTTTTTTGGTTCTTTTTTAATAGATCCCAGTTATAGAAGATAACGCATCCAAACGATTTTTACCTTCTGCCATGGCTCAGTTTGGAGGACAGAAGAACCCGCCTTGGGCTACTCAGTTTACAGCTACTGCAGTCTCTCAGCCAGGTCAGTTAGTACGTTGCTTGTATGGATATTTGAATCCTGACGTCTAGCTGAATTGCAGATTCTGTAGTTAAAGGTGTTCGTAAGAATAACCCATTGCTGATGGTTGTTGCCTGTACTGCTTGGTGTAAGATGATGAGTGAATGTTATTTGTATCTCTGATCTTTTAGGCATTTGGTTAGCAAACAATTATATATAAAAGTTATATATTAATATGTGTTTTCTAAAATGACTAAGAGTTAGAGATGCAAATATCACTCACCCATCGCCCTACCAGTAGGATGATAGATCTTGATTGTTTGTTAGCACTCAGTTATTTTTATCCAAAGATGCGAAAACCAAACTCCCACTCTCAAATTCAGATGGGATTAGTAAGGCATTATGGGCATCAAACCAAGGTTTTGCATTTTGTTTTGTTCTTTGAGTTTAACCCCAATACTACTTTTTATATATATAATATATTGTAAGGGGTTCTTTGAGAATTGCTCATGTAGATGGGGAGCGGAATGTATTTGTATTTTTGTGTGTCAGTTGGAAACCCTCCCTCAAAATACTGTGCATCAAAGGCCTAATCTTTCTGGTCAGAAATAACATTTTTCAGTTGCTAGCTAGTTACCTTGGTGTGGTGGAAAAGCCCTGTCAAACTATAGCTTAAAAATGTTAAGATATGTTAGCTACCTGTGTCTTTTGGCGTATGCTATCTCCTAGACTTGGTATATGAAGGTTTCCAAGTAGTAAAATGAACCTGAATATTGCTGCTTGAAGGATTTTAGTATTTCTGTGACTAGACATGGTGGGACATAAGAAGAAAGGGGGAGGTACTCTGGAACTAAACATTTTAGCTTGTTAAACGCTGTTCTGAAGAGACTGGTCCAACATAGTTTTGGCAGTGTGAGAAGCATCATATGAAAAGATGTTAGTGCAAGCAACATCATTTTAAAATTTAAGATCTGGTCCTGCAGGCAGTTCAGTCTCATGAAATTCAAATTGACCCTGCCTTGGGGCAGAACAAGGGCATGTGCCACTCCACTTTGTTTTGAATTCTTGAGGGCAACTTGTTATTCCTTCTGTTAGCACAACTGAGGAAAGTAGTTTTGCTCTTCCTGCCTGTATACCTCTTTGGAAGTCGAGGACTCCAATCCAAGGGCTTTCAGAATTGGTCTTGCTGCCATCTGTGGTGGTGCTTTCATCTTGCTGTGGAACCTCTGGGATCTGTTAAACTTCTGTGGTTGATCTCCTTTCCAGCAGAGGTTTTGAGATGGTCTCTGCTCTCACCTAAGGCAGTCTCAAAACATTTGTGTGTTGGTATTGTTCCATGTGAGCTGTCTGTGCAGCTTTCTTTTTGCTGTTTGTAACGTAGGCAATTAGGTTGTGTTTTCAGTGGTTTCCGTCTCTGGTGGAGAAGGTGTTTTCACAGGGGCTCTTAATAAAGTTACAATGTCAAGTGTTCAAAAGTTAGAGAATGCTTGTGAAACAATCCCCTTGTGTGACTATTATTGTGATG